GGTGCCAATTCCTAACGCAGAGCCCCTGAATGCGACAACTGAGCCCTCTCCTCCACTGCTTCCACCGCATGTAAGATGAGAAACCACCGAGTTCTTGGTCTGACCGAACAAATTGTTGTCCGTCTCTGCGCACATCATTGTCTGCGGTGTGTTTGTCTTGGCAATAATGACGGCGCCTGCATCGCGGAGAATTTGAACCAAATAGCTGTCGTGGTCGGAGGGACTGAAAGCTCGGCTAACATAATTATTGCTGGCATCGTATCCTTTGATATTAAAACATTCCTATAGAAATCTACATCAGCCAGAACGACGATCTCGGCTCCCTAGATGTTATTTTACCTTGACCGTCATTGGTAATCCGTGTAAAGGACCCTTAACTCGTCCGTTTTTGCGGTAGTATTGATCGAGCTTGTTTGCCTCTTCTACGGCCTGCGTGAACATTACCTCGGTGAGGTAATTGCACAACTGTTGGCCGATAGCACAGCGCTTACAAAATGCCGTCACAACCTGTACAGAAGTATAAACCCCTTTGGCTACTCCGTCAGTCAGATCAGTAGCATCCAGACTTGTTATTTCAAGTTCCTCTTGGTTTAATATTCCAGATTTGGCGGCGTAAGGTCGAGGGTCAACAGCAGCTTGTGCTTCTTTCAGTAATGAGCCGCTGAGAAGCCATTCAGAAGGTATGCGGGAAGTCTGTTCTGCCTTTTTTGCATCTCGAATGGCCTGCCACGAGCTGGTTTCCCCGATTGATCCCATATTGCTGTTGCTGATAGTTCATTTAAAACAAAGGATATAATCGGTGACCACTTCCTACGCGCTGATATGAGGTATCGACTCTAAAATTATTCTCGGAGAGGGAATGTTGTGCATGAGACATGGTAGAATGCACCGTTGTAGGATATGACAAGCAAAGTTCCTAGATTACGTGAAGCACTAATTAGACTCAAGATATCTTGGATATCTTGGCTCGCTCGGATATCTTAGATATCTTAGATATCCAATGTTCAGACCCACTATCCAGAATATAAGCATCTTCACGAATCAGGAGGCCGAGATCTACATCCACTTCGCGAATCAGGCTAGACTAGCTCTCATTCTCCTCGTAGCCCTTGCATTAGCCTGTTGCCCCAATGCTATACAGAAAGTACAAACCTGAATGTCGGTCGTCTGGAGCCGATCGATATTCCCGTAGTCACATTACGTTCCTTCCACTGGAAGACTAGTTTACCGCGTAGGCGTATATATACCTTTAATAAGCAATTGTTTTCTCAGTTGCCAAATCTAGTATTCCTCATAGGTAGGAAGTAGATATCATCCTTGAAGCGTTTGTATATCAATTCACCACTGAGGAAAACCATGGCCGAAATCGAGAAAAACACGATCAATCAAGATGCGTACCAGGAACCAGGCTTAGACGAGAAGGGGGAAAGCTCAATACGCTACGACGACGTTGGTAGAGCCCTGTTCGAGACTGCTCTCACTTATGATACCGCTCAATTGGAGCAGGACGCGAAGAAGATCAAGAAGAAATTGGATTTCGTTGTGCTTCCTATGGTAGGTGATCTTCCTGCGAAGCATTCATTCCGTCCCTATAATGATGAACTCTAACATCGATGCTAGATGATGATCACATATGCGCTAGGGTTCCTCGACAAGTCGACGTTAGTCATATATATATATACGCTACTGTCTTGATCGACGCGAACTAACTTCTCACTTACGTCTCAGGCTCAACTACGCGAACGTTTACGGCCTACAGAAGGATTTGAAACTTACAGGGAATGACTTTGACTGGGTTGCCTCCTCGGTATCAATTGGCTGGCTGATTTCGGCTTATCCCGCCTCCTTTCTTCTCCAGAAACTTTCTATCTCCCGGTTGATGGGAATTCTGTTGATAACATGGGGCGGCCTATGCAGTATGTCACTTCACGTTCCATTTTCTGATCATAGCCGCACTTTGGGTATACGAAGGCTAGACATGGAGTACCGAAATACTCTCTCGCAAATCTTTTTTTCATCCTTCACATTCCGCCGTCATAAGAAAACATTACTAACCACATATATTGCAGTGCTGGTAGCTGCAGCTTTTAACTTCGGAGGCTTATTCGCCTTGCGATTTATGCTTGGTGCAGCTGAGGCGCCCATTTCCCCCGGTATGATGCTCCTAACCTCTATTTTGTGGACGTCAGAGGAAGCTCCCCTCAGAACGTCCATGTGGCTCGCGGTTGACGGAGTTGCTACGATCGTTGGAGCACTACTAGCATGGGGTCTTGGTCATACCAATAGTGATATCATCCCAAGTTGGAAGTTTGTTTTCTTGGTAGGGTGGCCTCATAATATGTCCTTTTCTTGTGTCTAACATAATAACTCATGTTTTGTGCAGGTCGTCGGTGCTATAACGGTTGGCTGGGCCGCTGTGATTCTTCTGTATCTTCCGGATGGTCCACACAAAGGCAGGTTGTTTTCCGAATATGAACGTGCTGTACTCGTCTGGCGGGTATCCAAAGATAGGAGAGGTGTCAAGAGCCCCAAAATCAAGTTCAACCAGGTGAAAGAAGCTCTGATCGACCCCAAGACCTGGCTCATTAGCCTTTCGTCTGCATCGTTGGGAATTTTGAATGGTGGTGTCGTCAATTTTAAGAGTGCTCTCATCGCCGGATTTGGTTTCACCGGCCAGCAGGCCAATCTCCTCGGTATGCCTAGCGGAGCAATTCAAATTGCTGCTTGTGTTTTGTTCGGCATGTTTGCCAGACAAAAGAACATGAAAGGGGCAGCGATCATAGGTGAGCTTTCAGCGTCACTCGAATTTCGGTCTCTACTAACACGCTGGATTTAAAGCGTCTTGCTTGCCGGGTATGGCAGGACTCATCGGCATTCTTACAATAAGTCACGACCCTAAGTATAAGTATGCACTCGTCGCTTGCACTTGGCTTCAGTCTTGTATTGCTGCGCCAGTAGCCATCAGCTGGTCTCTGCCAGTCGTAAATGTCTCTGGACACACGAAGCGCAGTACGACGCTCGGGATGGTTTTCATGTACGTTGAGCCCGTCTATCGTAACATTTCAGATCACCTCTAGATACTGACTGGTTCCGTTTCATTTAGATTCTTCGCAGCCGGAATGATTGGAGGACCCCACCTATTCAAATCGTCGGAAGCACTGCGCTACCCTACAGCTATCACCGGACTGTTGACATCCTACGGTATTGCTATTGTGATCCAGGTAATATATACGGCTATTTGTTTCTTTCAGAACAGGACTAGAGACCGCGAGTACGGCGAGGTGCTAGAGATACATACGCAAGATGAAGCAGCAAGAAGAGGGTTTGAGGATCTCACGGATATGGAAAACAAGGATTTCAGATTTTCTTTGTAAAGGAGAGAAGCTGAATGGGTTTATTGGTCCAAGTGATAGTTTAGAGCTTGTTAAGTTATAAAGCCATCAAGAATAAAGTAGCTACCCGATGTCTCTCGGTATCATGTATCATTACTGCTTAACTTTCAAGAGATCTGATAATCCAATTCTTTCAAAAACCTCCCTGCGGGCGAGATCTTTTACTGCGTTGACTGCCTGAGAACCGTCGTTCCATGGGTCTATGTGGATTCGAAAAGGGGCTTGACCTATAGGAGCAGCAACAACCTTTACTATAGCTTTGGCCACATCCTCGACATTTCCAGGGGCGTCTCCATGCTCGAGGCTCTTCAGTACCCTTTCCGGAAACCCAGAGTAAGGTCCTTGCAAGTATTCCGATTCGACCTGCTCGTTCGAGCCTTTTCCGGCATGCTTAAAATGATCTGTGCCCGACGGAAACACTCCAGGAATCACCAAGGTGGACTCAATCCCCCACTTGGTGAGTTCACCGGCGTAAGTCACAGCAAGTGAGTCCATTGCCGCCTTGGCGGCGAAATACGGTCCAAAAAGTGGAGATGTACCGCCTGTGGTGCTGGACGAGCCGACCCAGATGAGCTTCCCAGATCTTGCTTTCCGCATATGTGGGAGAGCGGCACAATTTACGCGATGTGCACCAACCGCGTTGATATCGTAGTATTCCAGTAGTTGCTTGGCAGAGTATGTCTCGAGAAGACCATAACACATGTGTCCAGCGTTGTGGACCAATACATCAATCCTTCCGGACTCTTTGATGATGTGTTGTATTGCCTCGGCCACAGAGTCATCCCGAGTGACATCAAGTTCGACGGTACGCAAATCGACTGAATTTTGAGAAGCGAATTCCGCGTATGACTTCGCGACCGGGGCATTCGTCGTGTGAAGGTCAAGCATGCTTGCATAGACACAATGTCCTGCCTTGGCCAACTGTCGAACTGTAAGAGCGCCGAAGCCACTCGACGTCCCAGTTACTAGTATCACCTTTGCAGTAGACATTCAAAAGAATCCTAGGATAACTTAAAGTAAGGATTAAATCTAAATGTTTCTCTAAAAAAAATATTTTGATGCACTGACCATATCTTCACAACGAGTTCGAGTGGCATATTTGTACAAAAAGTATCGTATCCTCTCGGGAATAGAATCGGTTGCGGACCAAATAAATCCGATGCTCACCGTTGCTTACTACAAATCCGTCCACTCTTGGACACTTCGGGGTTTCAAAACCATCGTAATCCGCGAGCACTTATTGCATTCTCTAAAGGCCCTTATTTGTCCGGCCTTAGATCGCAATTATAATAACATTTGCAACGTGATCAATCAATGATTCTCGCTGTTTGTGTGACAGCTCTTTTCTAAATCTGGCTCATACACTCACTATCCAATATAGATCATAGTTAACCTAAGCATGCAATAATGGCTAGATCAAATGCACAAACATACTAGGTTGAGCTATCGTTACATATCACGAGAAGGAAGATCAATAAGTTAATGAATTTATTTATGGCTACATAAAACCAGGCCCAGTTCGAATTATCAATTTAGCGCCGTTATACCAAGCATCGTATTTCATTTCCTTCAAAGCCAAAACCAAATATGTAGTGATAAACATCATGATTACTCATGGTGGACGTTGATGCCGGATGGCGTACCGGATGCGAGATGATTATACTGATCATCCTCTGAAGACAAACCAGGCTTCTTATGGGTGGGAGTTGTCGTGGAGTGTTGCGTCGTCTGAGCGCGCTCCGATGGGGACGCATGCGACTTGTATGCCAGCGCAGCAGCACCAGTTGCAGCACCTGCGCCGACAGCAGCCGCCTCTGTGTTCCTAGACTCCTTGGGTGCCTCGCCAAACTTGGAAGATTCGTATTGCGGCTCAGCTCTCTCAACAGGCTTGCTCTGATATTGTTGTTGCTCATATCCCGCAGGCGTAGACTTGTATTCCTGCTGAGGCTTGTTTTGATATTGTTGTTGCTCGTACCTGTCAGTAGGCATGGACTTATATTCCTGCTGAGCCCTGTCGACAGGTTTCGCCTCTCGCGTATCAATTATAGATCGAGATGTGTATTGCTGGTCGGACCTCCCTACAGGTTCGTTCTCTCTCGTCTGGGCAGCAGGCGAGGAAGAGTAGGAAGACTTGTCATATTGAGAGCCGACAATGGCTGCCGATGCTGCCGTCGCCGCGAGTCCATCACGAGCCTTGGTGTTCGAAGACGGTTCTGCTCGAGAAGAAGAATTTCTTGTCGTGTCATTATCACCGATATTCTCCTGCTTGACACCAGATGGGGTACCAGATGGCAAGGTGTTGTACTTATCATCCCCGGCAGATCTGTTACCGTAATCGTTGGTCATACCATGGCTCTGTGCAGAAAGGTTTCCAGTTTGACTATAGTCTGTGGGCTTATTGGTGATAGGAGCAGACCCGCTTTCGGGCTTATTATGCTCCTTCTCAGCATATCTCGTAGCGCCGTAGGCGGCAGCACCGGCAGCGCCTAGTCCTAATGCCTCCTTGGCCTTTGAATCCCGCGAGTCGACGTTACTCTGACGATTGTCACGGAACTGCGATGGTTCTGTGTTTCGAGAGTAGTCCTGAGATTTAGGTTGCTCCTCGCGAGTGTACCTCGCGGCCACTGGCGCAACTGTTTCTGTTTGCTTCTCGTGGCGGACATGCTCCTTCTTCTCCTTGGGCTTCTCGGCCTTTGCAGGCTTCTCATCTTTTCCACTGCTATCGCGATGGAAAAGTGCATGCAGCTTACTCTCCTTTTGCTCCTTGGGCTGCTCCTTCTCACGGGACTTTTCAGCGTGTTTGTCGCTCTTCTCTTGTTCGCGATCGCGAGCTATGGGGTAAGCTGCAGACGCGACCGTTGCGGTACCAGCTGCCTCGTACAACCCCTTTCGGCGATTGTCATCCTTTTGGTCATCAACGTTGCGGGTTTGCTGTCGGTTGTTGTCGTCAATTCCTTGACCATAGCCAGTTTGGCTCTGTCCTGTCAAGGGGAATTCTCGTTGCCGGTTGGAATCATAAGAGTTGTCCGCTCCACGCGTAGACGTTGCTCCCAAGTTCTCGGACTGTCTGTGGGGGTCGTGGCGGGCCTGATCGTCCTCGTTACTGCCGTGGCCGATGACTGTGTTGTAAACACCACCACCACGGGGAAGATCTCCCCAATACGGGTCTTCGGAGGTGGTCTTGTTCTCCTCGTCGCCAGATTTGGGCAAGGTGGAGCCAGGCCCAACAATTGCTCCGGTCTTCGTCGTGGTGTAGGCACTATCACGTCCCTCCCCTACAGGCGAGTCACGATCAGTGACACCGGTAGGCTGGGCCTGCTGGCGCTGAAACCTATCGGATTCACCGACGCCCGATGTGGGAGCTCCTGCCAGACCGTCATAACGGTCATTGGAGCTTGCAGGGGCGTCACGACCAAGCTGTGAAGCTTGATATGTGCTATCGCGGGCACCAGAGCCGATGTTCGATTCAGCCCCGGAATCAGAAATTTGGTGACTATGAGGGGTGTTGTCTGTATCCCATCCTCTGGGGTCGTTGGGCTTGTGGAGTTTGTTGCGCTGGGAGCCAGAGGTGTCCATGTCGTCAGTCGGATAGGCACCGGGGATTGCTGAAGGATTTGGTGATTCAAGTGCGGTGTCGGTATCTCTAGATGCGGTGTTGAAGCTCATAGTCACTTATAGATAACGAGCTTTGATATAATAGTGAAAGCGGATATAATTGGTATATCTGGATGTATACCAAAAGATGGTGAGTAATTATTTCTTCCGTTATTCCAAATCCCTGCCCATGGAAATCCGAATTGCTGGAAACACTTATATACATTCATTGCAAGCATTAGCACTGCTTGCTCGCTCACAAGCCCGTCAAGTTAACTCTCAGAACTGGCGACTGGTGACGCAAATGGGCTGAAAGCGCAGCTGGGTCTGTTGGATGGAGAACAACAGTGATCGAAGTGGCTAAGACATAGTACAAGCATTGCCCAATCAGTAGCTCGCGATGGACAAAGCTAGAGGCGATCAGCTGGCCTTTTTAGGTCATTGCGTCACGACATTCCCGGGAGAAGGCCGCTAGGTACGCTAGCTCGGTCACTAGAACCTCATGCTTCCTGCTTTTGGGGGCTCTTGGGGAGTCGTTGGTGTCAGTGATGATATCAGCCTTTTCATTTCTAGCCAACATGGCAGAGGAAGCGTACGCAGGATGCCCCATTTGAGGCTTTCTGCAAGAGCCGCGTAAATCCATCGATCTGCCGCCAAACCCGCAAAGATGAATGGAGCCAGAAGTCCAAACGACACTGTGCATACACTCGTTAGCAGTAGACACACGTGGCTTGAGACACTTTCGAGAGAGTTTGGGCTATGTACAGATGCATGTATCTTTTACTCCACGCACGTCAGAGGCCAGCTGCAGCTTCGATCTACCGACTTGTCGTCATCCCGTGAACCCACTCCAGCGAGTTGGCCGTGCGGAGGGCAGCTAGAGCTGTGATTCAGGTCTATGAAGTAATCGAGCAGTACTGTATGTTGGGTCGAGACAGTCTAGCTGCCAAGAAATAGGGCTTTAATTGAGAGCAATGTTGGCCAAGCCGGTCTATTGCTTTGGGGCTCGCCCAGCGTGGAATGATCAGGTTTGGGCATAACATGCTTATTCATGTAGCATCGCGATGGCTTGTTTATTGCAACATGCACTGGTGTTCCGTTGATCAGGCAGTCGGTGAACTGATAGCCTTCCCCTCAACAGGCAATTGTTATATGTGCTTGTCAGTCCAAAAAAATAAATAGTATACTATTCTTGATATCCTTGCCAGGAACGAAGAAAGGAACATAGTCGTACCCAATGACTATACGAGCCGCTGCAGTATTATAGGCAGTAAGGAGATGTAGTCCTTCCAACGGGTGTCTATATGTTCGTTAGGTCTAATTAATCTGTCGCACTTCTGCAAGTATATACACATTCATTTCTTATGTCACCACTGATACTAGTCATATACAATCGCATGCCCCTTTCCATCTGTCAATCGCTCCACTGATCCTTGGAGATCCTAGGGTACCCCTACACTCCTCTTCCAGCTGCAGGGTCAAAGCTGTCGTCGTGTAGACGCAAAATAGAACAACGTATGACCTTCTATCCTGTAGCCTGGGGTTGGTTCCGATTGCCTTGAGTACCAATACACGGGTTACTTCCAATGCGGCCATATGCACCGTCATCGGACCAGCAGCAGTGGATCCTGCAATGCCCATGCCTCCTACTTCGTATCGACTACGAGTTCTTCGACACAGTCGTATTGAACGCGGCATTTGTGCCCTGGCTGAAATCATGGACCCAATGTCCCAGCTGGTCGTGGATGCTGAAGGACGACTGATTGTTGGCGGGCTCGTCCGGGGGGCTGGCTGCAAAGGCGAAGGCCATGTAGTTCTGACCCTTGGGCTCTAGACGAGTGATTCCGGTAGAGTCATCGCCCCAGTATGAACAACCAGAGCACTTCACCGTCACTTCGTAATGAGTGGCATTGACGTGAGTACCGCCGGGGAGAACAGTGAGCACGGAGCCGTCATAGGCGGGAGGTACGTAGTAACCGCTGGCACACAATGTCAGATTTTGTAGAGGATGACAGGCCAAGAATAGAAACGTACTATGCCATGCGAGACGAAACAGTTACATTGTCTCCGTTAAGCCACACGATGGTCAGGGGATTGTAGGTCATAGTGCCTCCCCATGCAATCCCGCTCCAGCCAATATCCTTGGGCACAATGGCCTGGAAGACCAGATCATATGGGCCATCTGCGGGGACAGGATCTGGCACTGCAATGTTATAGACGATGCCGTGATCGTTTGTCCAAGACGAGAATGTGAAGCCCGTGGTAGCGTCAATGGACTGTGAGGAATCTGCCGGTAGGTCTTGCCGCCTCACTGCAAATCAGGTCAGAGTCTGTCCCTAGACTGATACTTGGATGTCTGTAGATGTCAGCTTGCCTTTCGCCATGAGGGCGGTGATGCCTGTGAGTCCTCGAATCCAGCGCATTTTGGAGGTACCGCTTGGTGAGTGTCTGTGAGGATGCACTCATGACAGAAGACCGGGAAAAGGGGAGCCGCTTATATTTAAGATGAGACCTAAAGATAGCGAGGCGGCAAACAAATTTGTCGGCCGGAACAATGAACGGGACATGGAAACTAACTTGCCGTGATATCAAAAGGGGCACTGTCCAATATAGGTCTACCTTACTTGGCCGAAGCATTCCAAGCATTCAAGCCATGGCACAGTCGTAGCGCAGCGGCACGAAGTTCTCTACTTGTCTAGAGGATGAGAAATGGCAATGACACGATTGGCCTGGACCTGGCCATGGCAAGCTGTCTCCACGTACGCTGGCAGCTTGTGGGCAAGCAACACGGAGGGTAGATCACCACCAGCTCGGCACGTGGCCCGAATAGACATATTGCTAAATAGAGAATGTCCGCTAAGCTAGAGTGATCCAGGGGAGATCCCCTGCAGGTCCCGCACTCGAACGGCCAGGCTACGTTAGACCGCATGCCGAGTGATGCGGGCTTTGAGGAGCCGCCTCTCGACTGCATATGTCATACTCTACGTTAAGGTTGAATTGCTAGAAGCCACAGCTGGAAGAAAGAAAGGAGGCTCGGCTGTGTATATACCATGCGAGAAAGTCTAGTTGTAGGAGCAAGACAAGTCTATTTGCAGGATGGACACTCCAGAACATGATTTTTTTTTTTAAATCTTATATACTTCCATGTGTGCAGAGTAGTAGGCAAGGATAGACCTGTCACGAAGAATGGACGCTGATACGTAGAAGTGAAGAAAATTGGGGTAACGGCAATATGAGGCCAAGGATACATTGATTTCGTCATATTGCTGGAGCTGCGCAAGGCTGTGACGCGATTGGGAGGCTAAATGAGAAGAATAGACCGGCTCTTGTGGTTGTAAAGTGCAGCGTATATTGCACCGCATGTGCAGTCCCAGGTTGAAATAGTTCGAAGCCTGGGGTTAGCAGCAAGGGAGGACGGATTGTCAGTGAAAAAGTCAGAACACCAATCGGCCAAGGTGAATAGCAGTGGAGTAAGAGCAGCATTGATTCCGAAACGAGCGAGGATTGACAACGGAATGCAATGGCACACACGCCAGTATAGCTCATTTATGGCATTTATGGCTACGAATCATTAACGTCTTTCAGGCTAAATAAGGGGCCAAGTAACAGCAATATTATGTAGAGTATAGCATAGAATTGCATGGTACACCTCCGCCGGGGTAATA